CGGCGTATTTACAATCCCAGGCTTACAACATTGGGGATGTAAAACAATATACATGTATCAAGGGACATTTTCTCGAGAACAACTCCACATCAAAGGCAATACTTTGTCAAATCGACGGTAGATGGAATGATACTGCTGCCCAGTGTAAACCAGGTCATTGTACGCCACCGGATGTCGGTAACAACGCAACGTCATCTAAAATACCACCATACCACGTGCACCAACACGTGGACTTTGAATGCCCCACCGGTCACTTTTTTCCTAATGGTACTTCCATAAAGACGATCACTTGTTCTACGAATCTAACATTCAACGCATCCATCCCAAATTGCTTTCGAGTGCAGTGTCAACTGCCGAAGAATTTGACACACATGAAACCAAGAGACAGTGGACCGCATCTCTTCGAAGACCGCGTTCATTTAGATTGTGATACCGGGTACGTGCTACCTGTCACTAACCAAACATCTGTCAATTTAGTTTGCATGGAAAGTGGCAACTTTAACCAAACTATGCTACCTGCATGTGAACCAAGGTCTTGTCCTTTACCTACTTATAACGAAAACACAACAATGGACGGGGCAGCAAGTTTCACGTATCCAGGCTCTAAATCGTACCGCTGTCCTAAGGGCTATTCATTTCCTGGCAAGCAAGACGTAATAACTGTTGAATGTCAAGCCGATGGAAATCCGAGTAGGGATAGCGTACCAATTTGTTCACCTGTGTACTGCAATGATATAGGATCTTTACCCAGGAACCTCAGTGTATCGCCAACGGGACCGTACCTTTATGGAAGTAAAGTCAATGTGACATGTCCAGATGGTCTTAATATGGGCGCTGATGCACGTTACGTCACGCTGAGTTGTGGACGTGATGGCACTTGGGAAGGTACATTACCTGAGTGTTTTAAGACCAATGGTCAAAATGCGGACAGAATGACCGGACAGCCAGGTGGGTAATCGTTGCTTAATAACCTTGTAGAACTGAATCTGGATAAACTAAAGCTGTACAATAAAACAATGTCACTATTTTAACGCAGAAGTAAAGTTTCCGTTAATGGTTCAGAAAGTACCATCCAACAGACAGATTACACAAACGCTTCTGTTTCCAAAATTAAATTATGTTGATCAGATGTTTAGAATTCACCATTTTCTCCCACTTTTCAGAAAACATAGCGGCAATATCAGCAGGTGGTGGCACAGCAGCGGTTGTCGTAATCCTGGTTGTTGTAGGATTTGGACTAGTATACTGGAGACGAAGGTACAGTGTTCTTTTAATAGAAGCAATCAAAGGGTACTACATTACGCATCTGCTATTAATAAAAACAATTAAAAATGAAAAAGAAGTAAATATTTCAATAATTACAAAGATATATCTGTTTCTGATCTGATTAATGACTTAAGTGTTTAAGTATTGGGGTTAACATACGTTTTTTTTTTCGCATTATGAACAGATTCTACATTTATAAAAACAATAAAAGGTAGAAGAAGAAAATTATTCAATAACAACAAAGCCATACCTGACTTTAATCTTTGATTAGTGACTTAAGCGTTTAAGTTTTGGGTTTCATACGACATTTTTCAAAGGGAAAACACCTTCACAAGACTACATGGTAATTATTATTTCTTAAACCAGGGCTGTGACAGAAAACGAATAGCCACACCGTGCTTTATTCCTTGTGAACCCACGACACGCCATAGTGCACGAATACATGACATGGGGCACTCGCGGTCTATTTATTCTACTAGAGACGTGTTTTTAACTCAAATAAAACTCTCATTGCGAAGCTTTACGCAAAAGAGGAAGAGACCATCTGCTCTTTTCTTATTTTATTTTATTTTTCATCATAACATGCAATATTTTGATTTCAGAGGCAAAGAGAAAAATTATTCTTCACAAGACCATAAAAATCAACCATCATCTTCCCATCGACCAAGCGACGCTTACAACGACAGCCAAGATGTTTCTGAGACTGGCTTTTCCTCCGGCGTCGTTTCTTCCCCAAATGCATCAGACGATGTAAAGATGCACATGGAGGCAAACGAACAAGAAAGTACAAAAGCTGACATGTACGCCGTCCCAGAAAGGAAGAAAAAAGCCAGAGCATGTACAGCCTCAGATATAGAGGGCGACAGTGTGCAGAACCTCAGCGATCTGTACGCTGTGCCAGAGAGGAAGAAAAAGACAAATGCACAACCCAGTGCAATCCAAGGTACCAGTGAAGCTGACTCTGATGATTACCAGTTGGCAACGCACTTCGGTGATGACGTGTCAGATGACGACATGCGGATGGTAGAGAATGACCTATATGAAGATAGTGATGGCAGGCCAACTGACGCCACTGGAGAGGGAGAGCCCTCTTCAGAAGGCGTTGTTTTTAGAGAAAATAGCATATATGGCTCATAAAGTCAAAGGGATCATTCCCAGACCCTATCGTACTAACTGTTGGTCGATCTATCTGCGATTCTCGCTAAATTGCTATCAACTTAAGCGGCTAAAAAGTCTCCCATGTCTATACTTAAGTTGTTTGGGGGTAATTTATTATCGTTTAGCAGCTTCAATAGGCGTGCCAGACATTTTTGCCGCTTAAGCTGAAAGCAATTTAGCGAGAAACCCCTCGGAGATGGGTCGGTCCTGTTATATCGATCTACATGTAGGTATGGGAACCCAGTCAAAGTCTCAGAGGCAGCGCTGCTAACACAACAATAAGCTACCAGCATAACAGTGTATAACTCTGTGTATGATGATTAAATTAAATATATTGCCAATATTATTGATATTAGTAATATGAAATACTTATATGTAGGTTGTTTTTCATATTTTGCAAAATGTGCACTGATAGTTAAACTTCCATTTGGCCTTCCTGTTCATTTTGATTTCCTTAAATAGTCTTTATTGTATATGTTTAATAACACCAGGCTTTACTAAGCCAGTCATTTTTCGTCACGGCTTGCTACCCGTGATATTATTTTCAATCCATGTGAGTAACGCTTCGAACATTCCACGAGATATTAATTTGTCGTGACAAAAAGCTTATTGAGATATCTACGTACCGGGGTATATGTGTCCATTTCCTTGGGTTCAACACGTTTGTCAAGCACAAAACTGTGTTCCAGACTCTTAATTGATTAATTAACAAAGGGAATATTACCAGGGTCCAAAATCACAAATACAGTGTAGTTATATCGCAAGGTCAGTAAAATTTGAATGAAAAAATCCTTTAACTCAAAATGTTCTAGCTATTTTTTATCCTTTTTTATTAAAACGGAAACGCCCTTCCGACTTTCAATTCTATTTTATTTTTCTATTGAGTTGATTTTCATCAATCTTTAGTGAAAGGTTCATCAATAAACTTCAAGAAAAGTAAAACATATCTGCCTAAATATTGGTTAGTGTGAAGCATCTCTGAATTAATTTCTTTTAAATTGTGATTTGACAAAACAGCTGACATAAACAAAAGCACCTGGCTGTAGCATGCATTTTATTTCATTGCCTAACACCTAAAGTAGAATAGTGCTGACATATCAATTCTTATTTTAAGCACCTTGTATGGTTGTGCTAGAAGATAACTCCAAAAGACACAAAAAGCTAGTGCTGGCAAATGTATTTAGAAATCTTCTCACTGTATTGTTAGGCTTCGGAGAAAATTACAGACAGAGATCAAAATTTTCGATAGAAATTATGACAAGCTGCACACGTCTGTATTGTTTTGCGTTTAACACCCCAATAAAACTCTCTTTGTAAACGTTAGTTATATTTTACGTCCTCAGACCATGGCCAGTTCAATTGGTTAAACCGCTTTTCCCTTAGGCTGCTCTGTCCTCAAAAAGAAGCCAGTTGATATTAAAATATAGGAGCCATTGTTGTCATTCAAACTACGGCGTGACACAAGCATTTATTTCTGACGCGGACAATTTCATGTAATGCAATACTCTCAAACAGCTTCCAGCTTAAAAGATACGTTTTACTAGGCCTTCAATGATGTTTTAATCTGGTACATTCCAGCGTGTCCGAACAATGACCTTTCTATTCCGTAGGTCACTGGGCAATTAACCCACCCCCGTCTTAAGTTTGTTTGCTGGCGGTTTAGGTCGCCCGAGACCTTTACAAAACGAGGATGCCCATTATCCTTGTATCACGATTCACCTCACAGTATGTAGTATTATAGAGTGTTTCAAAAATACGTGGACCTGTCGTGAATTCATTAGATACAATACTGGTATGTCACTTAAATTGTAGATGTATAATATAAAAACACATTAAGAATTGTATGCGCATAATCCCCGTTTGCACTGAAAAAATTGTGTTTATTACCTAATTGAATTTTAAGGTTAAGTTATGAAGAAGGAAATAATTGCCCCCCTCCCCCTCTGCACTTTTCTCAGCCTCATGAGTACAGGTTAAGTGTAGTGTAATTAGCATTTACTCGTAGTACTATATAGCAGTAAAGTGCTCGTATTTATCTCAAACTACAGCGTTTCCTATTGGTTTTATGAAGACTAAACTGCCGAGAGAATGTATATAGAGGCACATATATATGTATGTATATATGTATATGAACATATTTACTTAATTACTGCGCGTACAAACGTATTTATAAGCCTATTCCACACCCTTCACTGAAAAAAATCGGTCTTTCTCCAAGGTTATTTCCAAGGATCATGTCCCGAAAATGTTGATAATGATATCCACCTTGTATGCCTCTTCAAACCTTTCTTACCCTGTTATGTTCATCTAAAAGGAGCTTTTCTATCATATATCGTATTACGATTGATCTCCATTGTGAAGATGTAGGGACGGATCACTTTTACTCGAACAAACCGCAATACTGACTTATACTTTCCTTGCATTTTTGCTAGTGGAATGTTTACATTCGTGCATCCAGGACAATGCCGTTCAGATTGAATACTCACAGGCCAAATAACTTAAAAACGTGTCTTATTGTCAAATAATCCCATTATTAAGAGTTTACCGAGCATGTCCCGCAGACAGTTTTGCGAAGCGAGAGGTGCCCCATGAATCTTCTTAAGTATCAAGGCATTCAAAGAATGAAATTTATTCAATAAGAAGGGATTGAGTTTGGCAAGCAATTCAGTTCTGTCGTAGAAGTTCTAAAGGACGCAGGACTTCTGTCTCTCTGTAAGGATGCGGCAGTTTACAGCGCTAATGCTTTGGTCTCTATGCATTGTTGTGCTGCAACTTTGTCGTCAGGCGCACAGTCATGGCAAGATGACGTCACCAGAGCAGAGAGACCCCAGAAACACTGGTGTCAACTGCGGGGGACTGTGGGTTAGTTATTATTATTATTATTATTATTATTATTATTGCATACTGAATGGCACTTTTTTTACTTTGTTTTTAATAATAATAATAATAATTATAATAATAATGGACTAAGTTTTACTCACTATTTAAACTGTAATTATAAATATACGTTTATGTAAACAATAAGGTGTTTTCACATACAGAGTAATAATAATTATCGATAATGATCAATTAATGCGTAGAAAATGGAAAACAATGTTTCCCCAAAATTATATTATACTTTCCAGTATCAGACGCAGAATGGTGGTAGATGTGGAGTGTGCGGTGACCCAGTGGGAGGGCCTTTCAAACACGAGACCCCAGGTGCGATTGTGAAGACGTACCAACAGGTAATAAATAATGTTAAAAGTCCCACCAAAATATCTCCATTTCAAGAACAACTAGTTTACCTAGATTCCATGATTCCAGAGAGAACTAAGCTCTCCTAATTTAGGTATTTTATATTGAATTGAAAGATTGTTTTTTTGTAATGAAAGGCCCATAAATGCAGTGAAATAGCTCTTCAATCGAAACATTAGTGTGGAAATAAAAAGAAACCTTTTGTTATGTTGCATGGCATTTCATTGAACTGACGTTATGGATCATATGTCTAACGATCCGGTTATACATTAAAAAGACATGAGCAGAGGTGGCTATATTGATGTTAACATCACTTGCTTCTTGTATTCTTCAGGGAGAGACATTCAACGTTACACTTGTTATAACGGCAAAGCACAAAGGTTGGCACGAGTTTCGAATCTGCGACAACAAGTTCAGGGTGACCCACGAGTGCATGAATAAAAACCTTTTACAAATACCACTAAAAGATGACACGTTAGTCACTCGCATCTTTGAGCCAGATGACAGACGGTTAGTTTGCTGATATATTATCCGTCAAAAGCGTGTATTTTTATATAGTATTGAATTGAAAGTTCGAGTACATGATTATATGAGCCGTTTAAAGAATGATCCACCAAGTAAACATTTTATATGCCATACAGTGTAGTTTCGTGAACCGCGGGATTTATCGTTTATCATTTAATAATTTAATAAAAACGAAGACAACAAAAGCAGTTCGAATGGCAGAATGTGCAAAATGCACATTATTTGATTAAAGATACCAACAGCACGTGACCCAGGCATTTACAATTAAGCATACATAACATAAACTATAAACATAAAACATATATGCACTTATTCGTTAAGTAGGGCCGGCTGTTATTATTACACAATGAATAAAGGCAGACAAAAAAATTATAAAATGCTATCTTCAATACGATGCATACTGTCTCACACGCATATTCTTGAAGTTAGGTGGGATGTTATTTAATTTCAGTTTCGTCAGCTCAACTATGTACCCGTTCGAGGACAGTAGGGCCACTTTAGTGATACCGGTCAAGTTACCGCCAGATCTGACCTGTGACCATTGTGTGTTCCAGTGGAAGTGGCACTGCGGTGAGTTGGCGTCTTCTAAGAAAGTTTATAGACCGGTTGTTTTTAAAAAAAAATTGATAATGTCCTACATGTATTAATCACCAAACGAGGCATAATTTGTATTCAAACGTAAATATGTATTTTATTGCAACGTTTGTTTTTTAATTATATTAAGTACATACAATATGTGCTGAAACGATTCATTATGTACACATGCATTTTGTCAAATATAAGTTAATGACGTTGAAATTCAGTACGCACGACATATTTTACCACAGGTAATAACTTCTGGAGAGACATAGACAATGTACCCCAGGAGGAGTTTTTCGGNGGGGGACTGTGGGTTAGTTATTATTATTATTATTATTATTATTATTATTGCATACTGAATGGCACTTTTTTTACTTTGTTTTTAATAATAATAATAATAATTATAATAATAATGGACTAAGTTTTACTCACTATTTAAACTGTAATTATAAATATACGTTTATGTAAACAATAAGGTGTTTTCACATACAGAGTAATAATAATTATCGATAATGATCAATTAATGCGTAGAAAATGGAAAACAATGTTTCCCCAAAATTATATTATACTTTCCAGTATCAGACGCAGAATGGTGGTAGATGTGGAGTGTGCGGTGACCCAGTGGGAGGGCCTTTCAAACACGAGACCCCAGGTGCGATTGTGAAGACGTACCAACAGGTAATAAATAATGTTAAAAGTCCCACCAAAATATCTCCATTTCAAGAACAACTAGTTTACCTAGATTCCATGATTCCAGAGAGAACTAAGCTCTCCTAATTTAGGTATTTTATATTGAATTGAAAGATTGTTTTTTTGTAATGAAAGGCCCATAAATGCAGTGAAATAGCTCTTCAATCGAAACATTAGTGTGGAAATAAAAAGAAACCTTTTGTTATGTTGCATGGCATTTCATTGAACTGACGTTATGGATCATATGTCTAACGATCCGGTTATACATTAAAAAGACATGAGCAGAGGTGGCTATATTGATGTTAACATCACTTGCTTCTTGTATTCTTCAGGGAGAGACATTCAACGTTACACTTGTTATAACGGCAAAGCACAAAGGTTGGCACGAGTTTCGAATCTGCGACAACAAGTTCAGGGTGACCCACGAGTGCATGAATAAAAACCTTTTACAAATACCACTAAAAGATGACACGTTAGTCACTCGCATCTTTGAGCCAGATGACAGACGGTTAGTTTGCTGATATATTATCCGTCAAAAGCGTGTATTTTTATATAGTATTGAATTGAAAGTTCGAGTACATGATTATATGAGCCGTTTAAAGAATGATCCACCAAGTAAACATTTTATATGCCATACAGTGTAGTTTCGTGAACCGCGGGATTTATCGTTTATCATTTAATAATTTAATAAAAACGAAGACAACAAAAGCAGTTCGAATGGCAGAATGTGCAAAATGCACATTATTTGATTAAAGATACCAACAGCACGTGACCCAGGCATTTACAATTAAGCATACATAACATAAACTATAAACATAAAACATATATGCACTTATTCGTTAAGTAGGGCCGGCTGTTATTATTACACAATGAATAAAGGCAGACAAAAAAATTATAAAATGCTATCTTCAATACGATGCATACTGTCTCACACGCATATTCTTGAAGTTAGGTGGGATGTTATTTAATTTCAGTTTCGTCAGCTCAACTATGTACCCGTTCGAGGACAGTAGGGCCACTTTAGTGATACCGGTCAAGTTACCGCCAGATCTGACCTGTGACCATTGTGTGTTCCAGTGGAAGTGGCACTGCGGTGAGTTGGCGTCTTCTAAGAAAGTTTATAGACCGGTTGTTTTTAAAAAAAAATTGATAATGTCCTACATGTATTAATCACCAAACGAGGCATAATTTGTATTCAAACGTAAATATGTATTTTATTGCAACGTTTGTTTTTTAATTATATTAAGTACATACAATATGTGCTGAAACGATTCATTATGTACACATGCATTTTGTCAAATATAAGTTAATGACGTTGAAATTCAGTACGCACGACATATTTTACCACAGGTAATAACTTCTGGAGAGACATAGACAATGTACCCCAGGAGGAGTTTTTCGGTTGCGCCGATATCAGAATAGAGGGCCCTGCGACCACCTTACGGCCTTCGTCGACCCCACCTCCACCTTTACCAACTCTTCAACCAGGGGAACCAAAACCAGGTACTTTGTGGTTGTACCCGGAATATAATAAGATGTACCCGGTATGATAATTGTTAATTAATAGAGATGTAAAAGTGCTTGATTTTTGTCGGAATCGGTCAAATGAATTTAGAAAATCTTTAGGCCAAAAAGGCGGTTTAAGGCATTGGACGTCTCATGGCAATTTGTGATGAATTAATTTCATTAAATTTAGAAATATACGATATCCTAAACAAGTAATGCATCAAGGAAAAGAAATGTTTTACAAAACACTACCTTGTATCACAGAATCAGTTGAGTTAATGAATATTCGCATTATGATAAACGGGAAATTCCACTACATTATATCCCTTCAGCTAATTTTTTTTTTCTCGAAATTTTGGCACGTCTATTTGACCCTATTCGCTTCAAGATACATGTATTTGCCGTGATGTACAATTGCTTTTTGTTTTGCTCTCTCTCGTAAACTTGGAATATATAAAAAAGGAGATTTACTTATATGACAGCATGTCACAATGGCATTGCCATAAGCTAATGTTCAAGGGTTAATGCAGTTGTCCTAGGCATATATCCTCGTTATCAATCACCGCAGGTACCATGAAGGTTGGCTGTTGGTTCACCAATTGGGCACAGCATAGAGCAGGGGGCGGACGATTTGGACCACAGGACATAAATCCTTATGTGTGTACGCATATATTTTATGCTTTCGCCAAGGTGCAATGGGACGGCAGAGCTTTCACATTAAGGCAGACAGAACCGAACGACCCAGGTAAGTAAAACTGCAATAGCAAGGACATGGGGTGGGGGTGGGGGGGGGGGAGGCAAATGTGTTTAATTCGGTCTAAGTTGTGCTGACCAAGAATGTTTTTTTTTACTTTTTTGCCTCTTCCTGTGTCGACAGCCCTATAGAGTTGTCTAATGGTCCTCTCATGGGAGATTATTTTCATATACAGTAAATGTGCATGTTTCACCAAGAAGACGATGCATATTGTCATTCACTTAAATTCTGTATTTACTGGTACATCGTCCAATCTGTCAAATTATTGTAGAATATACTGCATGTATATTTGTAGACAACATGGAGCAGGTCGTGAAACTAAAACTCCGTAACAAAGACCTGAAGGTTCTTCTGGCAGTCGGTGGATGGAGCCATTCGTTAAAGGTCTTTAACGAAATGTCAAAAACATCTGAAACCAGAAGAAAATTCTTGACCAACGCGATCGCATTTCTACTCCAGTATGGCTTCGATGGATTGGATTACGACTGGGAGTACCCCGGAGACGTCGATCGCGGAAGTCCTCCGGAGACAAAGCAATATTTTGCTGATTTGGTCAAGGTAAAATGAAAAGTTCCAGATCTCCACTCTTCAAAATAGATAAATAAATAAATAAGTAAATAAAATAAATACATAAATAAAATAAAATAAAATAAAATAAAACTATAACACCTTATCTTGGTTATATTAACCTCATGTTAGTCAGAGCTTTGCCGAGGTCATAGCTTAAGCTCGCTCTAGAGACATTTTTCTTTGAAATCCAGGAAACAAGATTGCGTTTCCAAGAGGAGGCCGCTAATACGGGCAAGGAAAGGTTACTTGTCACAGCTTCTGTTGGAGTGACTGATGAAGTTATTGCCGAGGGCTACGACATTCCAGTGATGAGCAGGTATACGACCGTTATACGTTGCCATTATTAGATTTTGTTTGTGCCTAAATAAAACAAATCGGCAATATGTCCGTGCAGTAGAATGCAATAGAATAATTCTTATTCAGTGACCGGTAAAATACACGCTAAAGCTGCCAATCAATATTTTCAGATACCTTGATTGGACAAACCTGATGACCTTTGACCTGCATGGGGCGTGGGATGGTATCCTGGGACACCACTCAGCTTTGTTCTCAAAGTCAGGCCGCCTGGCTACTCTTAACATTGTGAGTGTACAGAAATTGTTTGACAGTTACGGGGGCGGGGGGTGGAGGGTGCTGTCTTTTTTCCCGTTATCAGAACAAGAACATTTTTGGCTGCTGATGGGTTAAGGTTTATGGTTTTAAGTTATTTAGCATTCTATTTCGATTGAAATATACTGTATTGGTTAGATTATGCCCGATACCTGGCAGTATTTTCTACTTTGTGATTTGTCATTACCTATAACTCTTTTACGTGCAAAGTGTGTGTGGGGGGGGGGGGATGGGGGGGTAGTGGGCGTGTACTCTCATTGGCTCAAACCAATTTTACTATAAGAAACCAGACAGCCCTCCTGTGCCTCCCCTCCCCCAAACTTTTTGGATATGCCAGTAACTATACATTGTGGAAAACAGGTCAGAGAAGTCATGATTAAACATGCGTCGAAGGAACGAATACCACCAATGTCGAACTATTGATTGAATTGATAATATGATTCACTATTTGCAAAAATTCAGATGAAAAGCCTTATTTTCTGAGGAAATTGATTTCAAAGCGTAGTTCAAAGTCGACAGATCAAATTCAACTTGAATCGGTTCTCTTTTCCAGGACTCTATCGTCAAGAACTGGATAGGGAAAGGCTACGAGCCTAGCCGACTGCTCCTTGGCGTCGCCACATACGGCCGAACCTTCACCATGTCTCAAACGAACGCACACCACCCTGGGGACTCGGCCATTGCCCCTGGGGCCGCGGGGCCGTACACCAACATGAATGGGATACTCGGATACAATGAGGTAAGAGCATTGTTAGGAAAGGAAACTGCATGTTGACATTTCGCCCTTCAAGTAGTAGGTTTCAAATTATCGTATCGTTTTCATTTTTTAAAAGTCACAAAAATTGCTGTAACATTCCCACAGATACGTTTACAACATTCCAATATTAACACCAACAAACGTCAAATCATGCGTTAAAACCACTAGTACTGAAACTACGAAATACCGTACGCTTAATCCGTTGGTCGTTCCAGATGTGTGTGGTGGGCGGCTGGGACGAGTCATTTGACTATGAAACCATGGTCCCCCACGCCTACAACCCTGACACGAGGCAGTGGGTTGGCTACGATAACCAAGAAAGCATCGCACTTAAGGTATGTGGTCAATATCAAACAACGAGCAGTACATTTGAGTTATATTCCTTTACATAATGCACCCTTGATTTCATTAGTCAAACGAAATTGCATACAAGAGTACCGGTAATCTGACTAATCAAAATGCTGTTTAATTTTCAGTGTATGAACAATCATACGATTTGATTTATCCGGGTGTCACTGAGTGTTGTTGTTATCATTATTATTATTATTATTATTATTATTATTATTATTATTATTATTATTCTAAGGCTCAATACGCTTGTAACACGGGTCTCGGGGGGATGCACGTCTGGGCCTTGGACATGGACGACTTCAACGGCGCCTCTTGCAGGGGAGGAAAGTACCCTCTTCTGACCGCCGCCTTAATTGCCTTGAAATGCAAGCGACCCGAGCCTACCACGACCACAACTCCAAGACCAACTACTACGACTACGATTACAACTACGACCACAACTCCTAAACCTACCACTACGACTATGACTACGACCACGACAAAGGCAACCACGAAAAAACCTACAGGTACTTATCTGTGTATTATCTAGGTGCAAAGATATTATACATGTTGCAATAGGAAGTGAGTCAGTGGTCTGCTATTGTGTTTCAGATATAAATTAATTGAACTCACAATGTGACATGCAGTCCACATTATCCGTTTTTAGAAAATTCACTTAAAGATGTCGTCTTTCTTTTTTTTTCAGGGAAAATCTGTAAAACCCAGTGGGGCTACTATTCTCACCCGACCGACCCCAACAAGTTCTATCAGTGTAACTGGGGGAATGCCATATTAAAGCGGTGTGGCCCAGGGACCGTGTGGTGTGGCCGATACTGTGGATGGTCGTGGAGTTGCCCAGGGGTGGTGGGCCGTTGAACAATCCAGGCCATCCCGTGTAAAATCTGTAAAGTATATACGACACAATGCCCGGAGGAAAACGTCAAGTCCACAATTTTTTAAAGAACGACGTTATACTCAACATCATTTGCTAAATATGGGGAATATAAAAATAAATAAAGAATGTTTTAACTGGTTTTATCATGCTCTTTAATCCATGCATCTGGTTCTGTATAAATACCGTAAGAGTATCGGTCCCGCTTTTTAGAAAGTAAATTGATTGTTTGGACTCAGTTGAGACTGCTTAAGGGGAATGGAAAACTAATCAAAGTTTTATACCCTTCTACGATTACTTAATCCATGAGAAATTAATATTTCAACAGGCTTTAAACTTGTCACTTTGAGTAAAGCCAACTACTTTGAAATTTTTCATTAAGGCTTACAGTTTTAAAAAATGAAACATTTCAAGGCAATCAACAATTAAGATTATTTTTGAAGCAATAAAACTACCATGGATGAGTTACTATCATATCTTCTTTATATCTTTTATATAGGATTGTCCTTTATACCCAAAGATTATTCGTGAAATTGTGAAACAATGAAATGGTATTGTAAATGTACAGAATGTTGCATCGTGTACTTTTTAAAGGTGGTGCTCAGTGCGAAATATTGGAGATGGGATCGTATTATTGCTCATCTTCACCATACCTGTAACACGGCTTTGACCTTTGCTTAGAGGTAAAACTCCTCGTAACCTGTTTGAAGAAGGTCACTGACCGCCCTGGATATTAGTTTACATGACTTTTCTTGGCATAAGACACATACAAAACCAATGACCCATTCCAATTCATCACTTGACTTAGAAAGTACTGGTCCCGAATTTCAACGCCTCTTCAATATACAGAACTTGTCGCCACATACCAAATATATTGTCACCATCAGATTCATATTCACTGCATCAGTGCGCTTGTTTATTAGAAGCATGTCGACATAACTTAATCTCTTTACAATTCACTGGCCCTTACTTTCAAAAGATATCTAATTTGCCAACTGAAAAATGAAGCCACCGTTTCAGCTAGGTTCGATTCAGTGTATAGACACAAAGTCTTTCCATTGCTAAGCCAAACATAGAGAGAGATGGCTGAAGGGCATAAAATTCAATTAGCACATTCTTTGGTACGCGAGAAGGGATATAACTACAATACATGTACATTTAAATCGTTGTCAGGCCTGTAGGCAGGGAAAGGGGTTCGGAGAAGGGGCGTCGAAAGCACCCTTTGTCCGAAAAAAGTGCGTTATTCATCTAAGGTTTTTCATAATGCGTCAGGTAAATCCAATGCTTGGTGTCTTAGAACTTCGCCCATTTCAAATTGTTACCTGCAAGCCTGCCTTTTCAGAAAAAAAGCGCCCTATTTTGCTAGCGGAGACGGAGGTCCTTTGGTTCATCGTCTTCGTGATTCTACAACAATAGCTCCAGAATAAAGACTATTCGGGCGTGGGTTGCATTGCTGTGTTTATGATGTCCGACGTTCTATGCCCATCAGTGTTGCACCATAAGATTTTTACAACTTGTTAAAGTTTTCAAAAAAAAAAAAAAAAACCAAATCTTTGCAATAGGTGACTTCCAGTGGAAAACTGTTATAATGTGTTGGGCCCCTAAGGACCCGATTCCCTTTCGAAACCTTCGTTAATTAATATTTTTTCCAACCAAAGTCGTGTATTTATTGGACTAAATGGCTTTAGATTAAAATCTTTTTAAACGTCGACTCCATGTGCCAATCTGCTTTACTTGCAAGTGACGCGATGTAATTTACATGTACATTTGTACCTTAGATTACAAATTATGACTGTCTTGGACAGGTGCCTGCTACGATATCCAGCCCCTCTGAAATAGGCTAAATACACTATTTTAACAATGACAATTTAATGCAAATAATAGTAGTTTACTTTCCGCTTAAAATACCTACATAGGCCCAAGTTACATGTATAAATGTGAAAGAGTGAATATGAAACGTTCACATTTACATGATAGAACGTGATTGTTGAAGAGAAACTCTTTTAAGACGCACATGGCAATAGTCGATGACTTAAACCTGAACAGTTATTCTCCCTGTACTAGTAACTTCAATAAGTGTGGGTCTTGTTAGTACGTATACAGATACATGTATATCCGATAATAATATTATTCATAACACATGGAAAAAAGTGTTATAAAGATGTATTGTATTAAGATCTGGATATTGAAAATCAAATAATCAAAATTTATTTCCCTCTTGATCGTGTCAAGGACAGACATTGGCGAGGCTTTAGACATCTTTTCCCAGCCTCGCACCACACAGCTATTGGTCCGCACCGGAAGTTCATGCTATTGGCTGAAGGTGGTCTCGTGCCGGGTCCCGGATTTCCGGCAGTGGAACATTTCTTTAGACCCTCCTTGGCAGCAGTGAGGAGAGGATATCTCCCCTCGTTGCAAGACCTCCCTGTGAAGTCGTCCATGTCCATTGCCCACACGTGGAGCCCTCCAAGACCCATCTTGCAAACGTAGTCGGCCTAGAGGAGAAACGACGTGAATGTCTTTCTTCTTCTACACAAATACCTGATTTTGTTAATCTATATGATATATGTGTCAGATACTTGGGCCCAGGGGTATAACGCTCTTTATATCGTGAATTCATTTCTAAGTTAAATTTGTAAGGATAATCTTGAGAGTTATCATCACGTCGGGTGTAACATATTTATAAGCTTAAATTACTCCTATTTTTGGATTTTAAGATCAGTATCTTGACTCATATTTGGATTATGGAAGAACCTATAAATAAAATTAGAAAAACTGAAAACTCTAGTTATGAGCTATAATAAGCTAGGGTTTTACAAACAGCGGCGATTTGATTTCAGATCGGTGGATTTGCGGTACCTTCAAGTCCATGCTTTTGGGGTCGTCATATCCCACCCACTGTTTCGTGTCTGGTTTATATGCATATGGTACCTTCATCTGAGGGTCAAAGACTTCGTCCCAGCCACTCTGCTCGCAAATCTGGCAACAAAATTTTACGTGTATATTTGCGTATTAATTTTAATCTGTTATGAAGTGTCTGAAGCGCATATATAGCGGTTTGTTTTGTTTTGTGTTGCATGTTCTGACGAATCAAAATGTATTTGCTCTACTACTGATGATTCAGCAAAAGGTTTGATAAATGGATACATCGGTATATTTGTATCTTAGTCAAAAACGTATGGTGAGCGCAATTGTGCAGCACGCACCTCATTGTAACCAAGAAATCCCGCATGTTTGGTATAGGGTCCGGCGAGTCCCGCACCAGTTGCTCTATCTCCCGGCGAGTAGGCATTACTGTCAGTCATGGTGAAGGTGCGCGCGTAAGAAACGGCCCCAAGAACAAGCCTGCTGGGATCGTAGCCTTTCTTTATCCAATTCCGGACGATATAGTCCTAGCAAAAAAATAAAGGAAAATAATGAATTGCTTACTCCCAGCAAACGCAGAATGTTATTAGAGAACGTTTCCATAACGTTTATCTAACCGAAAAATTGTTTTTGTGACGATATGGTAAAGTTAAAAAACGCTCCGTGTTTGTTGGGCTGTCAGTTCGCCACTTCAGTTTCCCGTATTTCATAGTATGGCAGAATGTCTCGCAGAAAATGTACAGATTGTGTATCCTTAACCTGAAATCTACGATGTAAATATTAAGAACACACAGCTATGCTAATGGAGATAGACAAAAATGAAGGACGCACAATGTTGAGAGTATCCTGGGTCCCTGAATTATCCGATCTGGCAAACAAGGCAGCGTGGTGACCTAGATAGCCATCCCACGCCCCGCGAAGGTCATAGGTCATCAGGTTTGTCCAATCAAGGTATCTGAAAATATTGATTGACATCTTCAGTTTGCATTCTGGAGGTCACTGGATGAAATCAGTTCCGTCAATATTCCATTACATGGTCATTTGTCGATTTATATCATGGCGTCTAACATTAACAGTTGCATAAAGGGAGATTTATTTTATGTTATTTTTCTTTTAAATGTCGCTAAACATAACAACTTCATATATATTTGATCTACTAAAACTTTTTCAATTCATAAAACATCTTTGGAAATAAAAAGACGGTTTCACAGGCATATAACTTACTTGTTCATCACTGCTATATTGTAACCGTCTTTAATTTTCTCATCTGTTACTCCTACCGACGCTGTAACTAGTAATCGTTTCTTGCCTTTTACTTCGGCCTCTTGTTGGAAACGAAGCCTTGTTTCCTAAGTATGAAATATGTTTTTTAGATATTCTATAAATATGGTTGTCTAAAGCAAAATAAATGAACTATACGAGTACAGATTTTAGACGAGTTCTTATTTTAAAAAGTATCAATGTATGACTACATCGCATTATTCTATTAACACAATACCTTGACCAGATCGGAGAAAGACTGCTTCGTTTCTGGGGGACTTCCACGGCCAACATCCCCCGGGTACTCCCAATCATAGTCCAGTCCATCGAACCCGTAAACTCTTAAAAAGCGGATTGCGTTGCTTATGAAATCTCTCCTGGATTCGGTGGTTTTTGACAGCTCATTGAAGATCTCCCAGGGATGGCTCCAGCCGCCGACTGCCAGCAGAACCTTCAGAGCTGGGTTGCGGGTTTTCAGCTTCACAACTTGCTCCATGTGGTCTTTCGGGGAGATGAAATTTGCGTCATATATATGTGTTGATAGCGAGTGCAAAAAAAAAAAGAAGTGAATTCTTGGTCCTAGTAATAGTTTCGTGATTTAAGCTCAACGACATAACGGATAATACACTGTATCAACGACTTAAATCATATTGGACTTCAACATTATGTTACCTGGGTTTTGCTCAACTTAAGCATATATTCTGACAGGATACTATATAGCAAACATAGCAAACTATATAATAAAATGTACGGTTTAAACAAGCATCAGAATTGTTGTTCACACGTGTATTAAAATTCAGAATAAATAACCAATCTTAATGAGCACATTTTCATAACATTAATCAACCACAGACCTTGGTCATTCGATTCCACAGTTTTCAGCTCTTAACGAGTTCCGTCATAATTTATCTTGGCGAATGCATAGTATATATGGGTGCAGAGGGCGGGGTCAATATCGGCTGGGAGGAACTGCCCCCTTCCTGGTCTGTGCTGTGCCCAGCTGGTGAACCAACACCCCATCTTCATTTGATCTACGAAAAAAGTTAACATTTATTATTTTATTAATATTATGTATGATAAAACATATGTTGTGTGTTTCCTCTGTCTATCTTCATCCTCATGACTTCGTTCACGGTGTAATTGATATACAGAAAGATAAACAGCGTGGTGACGCGTGTCGTTTTATGAAGTACACTTTAGCAGAAGTTAAATACTGCTGCTTTGGTATTTTAAAGGTGTGCATTTTGTCATCCACAGATGATGTATCATAAGGCATGGAGGTGCAAATAGTTTATGAATCAGACAGTTTTAATTGTTAAAACTCACTTTCATTTAATAAAATGCAAACACAAAGTTTTTAAAAAAATCATGTTTTAAACTCATGACTTGGAAAATCCAAGTCGAAAAAGCAAACTTACGTCCCTGGTCTGCAGGTTGTTCCAGAGTTGGCAGAGGAGGAAGCAGGGTTGTCGTGGTCGGTGGAGCTGCAGTGCCCTCTATTGCGATGTCGGCACAACCAAAAAACTCCTCCTGTGGTCCCGTCCCTTTCCCTCCTGGACCCCAATTGTTACCTTTTGAAAAAAAGGCGTTTAAACTTGAATTCGAATTCCATCGATCAAAAGCCACACAAACATGTACAGTGATTTATGAACAGAGATATGTATCATCGTTAATTAACAAGCTTTGAAACGGGCGTGTCAAACATTCCAACTAAGCTGGCAATTACCATCAAGAAAACTCAAATTCTGTGATTGATATTAAGATTGATCAATATTAATCGAAGATGTCTACACACCACAGTGCCACTTCCACTGGAACACACAATGGTCACAGGTCAGATTTGGCGGTAACTTGACCGGTACTACTAAAGTGGACCCACTGCCCACGAACGGGTACATAGTCGAGCTGACGAAACTGAAAGTAAATAACATCCCACCTAACGAGTAGGCATATATCTGTTTATTGGTCACTGGCATTTTGTATATAAATGATAAGATCGGAGTCATTGTGCGATGTATTGATGATAGCATTCCAATTATTTTTGTCTCCCGGTATTCTTTGTGGTTAATGTTCAGTGTATTGTGACAAGAAAAATGATAATTAAATTCAATAAATTCTCGGAACTAAACTGTACAATAGGCCCATATATGCGCGCAGAAGTTCATAAATGGGGGGCCTATAAGCAGTTGTATCGAAAAAGAGGCATTTGCCCCATTTAACATTTAAAACTGTAAGTTTAACATTTCATGCAAATTAACTGGTTCAAAAAGCACCACTAAAATGTGAAACGGACAAGAACAGATATATGAGAAGAGTACATTAAATCGTTTACAATTTCATAAGGATGGCGTTTTTTCCCCTTCATCAAATGACCTTGATCTCGCCACTCAATCTTAGATGTAAGTTTTGGAGATTCGATAAAAAAATTATAGCGTTTTTAAAATATGTTTTTCACATAGTTACCGTCCATCATCTGGTTCAAATATACGAGTGACGGTAGTTCCATCCTTCAGTGGTATAACCAGGAGGTTCTTATCCATACATTCGTGTGTCACCCTGGTCTTGTCGTCGTTTTTGCAGATGCGAAACTCGTGCCAGCCCATGTGTTTGGCCGTTATAACTAGTTCGACGTTGATTGTCTCGCTCTGGAAAAAAATTCAGTAAAAACATCACTACTATCAATTAAATCATCGTTGATGTGATTTCTCTTTATAGTCTTAGTCGTAATGTATCAGGTTCAAAACAAGAAAGGGGGAAAAAGCAAAGATTTAATATATTTTTCTTTCAAAAGGCTAACTATTATCTCCTTTAATACTTCTTGCGCTATGCGAACCAAACTTTTTTTATATTTTTACAATGGCCATACTGCATAAAAGAGAGACGTTCGCTGGGATTTTTGCCCATTTCCTACCTGTTTGTACGTTTTCACATTCGGTCCTGGAATTTCGTGTTTGAAAGGCCCTCCCACTGGGTCACCACACACTCCACACCTACCACCATTCTGCGTCTGATACTGGGAAATTAAATGGATATGATTTAATGAAACTGTTGGTCTTCCAAGACCAACACCACTAAAATTTCCCAACTTTTAACTACAGCATGTCAGAAACGATAAATATATAACTGAAAACATTACTTTGACTTTATACTGAAAATGCAATAAATTCGCATTAAAAATATTGCGCCATAACTTACGTATAGCCCCCCGCAGTTGACACCAGTATTCCTGGGGTCTCTCTGCTCTGGTGACGTCATCTTGCCGTGACTGTTAACACGATGAAAAAACTGCAGTATTGCAATACACAGCCACCATAGCGACGAACCTGTGCACAGTTGCATTTTAATTTCAAAGACACCGATATGATCAAATAACTTTTTGAAACGAAGTTCTTGAAGTTTAGATTGATAGTTTTTCTCCTACACTGATAAAGCTACATGAACATATCAGCCTTACACAGAAAGCTTATGCCTAGTGTGGGGCACGGACGTCTCCTTTATACCGTGAAATACTAGACATTCCACAAAAGTTAGGGCTACATCATCTGACAGTATCCAATTAGAGAGGCATTGTCCAGGATACACGAAATGCAAACATGTCCACTTGCAAGACTGCAGGGAAAGTTGATTTCAATCAAACACTTTCTTTGAGTAGAATTGATCCGGCGCGACCCCTGCATGATGAACGTCAATGGTCAAGGGAGAAGATGAGGATCTTCTTTTATTTGACCGATCAGGTGTAATGGATGGATCTTGGACATTATGTCCAAGGATGGATAAAGGCGATATACAGGGTGTTAAGGTTATTGTCAGCCTTCGCCCAAAACTCCTAATCGACTGCCTTATATATACTGAATTATTTTGGGTAATAAATAAATCTTAAGTGTACAGTAACTAGATTAAATTAACATTTACACATGTGTCATCTTACGTGACGTCATAATTGCGATTTTGGAGTAAAAACTGAAAAATCGGTTTTTCAAATTTCTTTTTTATCTGAGTACCCACGATCACCGTTTCAGCGCCGATTTAATGGCATCATTAGGTACTCCAAAACCATGCCAGCGGTTTTTTTTTAAAGTCTTAGTCCAGATTTTATCGTTGATAAAGCAAATTGCTTTGTTTAATCAAAATAGGTAATTAGGGGCCCCTAACTCCATAACCAAAACATTTTAACCAAATTGGTGGCACGAGATTGTAGCCTACACACTCCTGGTCAACTTTGCCAATTTTCGTGTTAAAATCTTCTTCAGAGATGAAGTTACGCCCCACACGCTTGCTATCTCACCTCAAAATAGAAATGTGTTAAATTGACCATAAAGTTTTGAGTTGCCTATGCTTGTGCATTGCAACAAAAAATAAAAACGCCGATATATTTTTTCGGGGTTTTTTTCGTTGTTTTAAATCAGCACAAAATAGATGAATTTTTGAATAATTAGATGCAGAAAGAAACTCATATTCAGGATCTAGATGATAATAAAGGGTTACAATATCCTTAAGAAAAGGTGAAACATTCAAATGGGTTAAATTGCAGAAAGCGTGTGACCTGTTAAAATGTTCCATGCTGGGATACTCCTGCGGATTAACTCATGTTTTACGAATTTATCCGAGGTAAATGGCATCTTCCCGCAATGCAGGAACTCTCAAATCTTTTTCATCTCAGCTCGCACTCTCCTGAAAAGCCCACCAATTTACCCATCTACAGAGCCGTTCCGTGCTTAATTAGAAGTAGATACATGCAGTTAGTTAAGTTAATTCCCACATACCTGAATAATGACTAAAATAATAGGGGTTAAACAGTCTTTGGGTTTATACACCGCTTTAACCGTACATATTGTATGATATATACATATACATACTAGTATTTTTTATATAAATAAATAAATAAATATTGTCTATATATATATGAACTAATATTTATCCACACATAACCGTATGCATATAGAAACGTCAGTAATGCGGTAACTAGCAAAATAAATAGATGATGAAGGAAAAAAACGATAAGAATAACAATGAAAACGCTTCTATCACTGATATTCTGACAGTAGATAATAACGCGACTAAATAATAACGCGACTAAAAATTGTGGTTTTATTAGCTTATGCTTGAAGACATCCAATGTTTTCCCTGCAACAGAAAAAAAGAGGAAAATGTGATAGAGGTACCAAACGCAAGGCGTGCAAGCCGGCACGTGCAATTGAAGCGGGAATTTTTTCCATCATACGCTACTTTCCCTCCACTATAGGGGTCGCCACCGAGAGATCACGACACATCTGCTCAAACACACATTTTTGACTTGACTGAGTAGAAGAAACATTTGTCATTTGTTAAGATTTATTTAGGGCTTGCAACAGGTGGAAGTGACCCTTAAACTGTACACCAATGTTACTAAGAAAGAGAAGTCGCACTTATCCAGTGAGTTGATATTATAGATACAATTGTAATTGAGGGTGTTCCATTCAATGAATATTTATATGTGTAACTGGGGTGCTCCCGGCAAATCTTGTTTGATAGCATACAGTCCCATAGAGACAAAATATAAGAGAAAACTATTTCTACGCAAGTTGAAAGAATATAAGAATTGTTTTCTTTAATTCAACTTTAAGTGTCGTTAAGATCAGTATTCGTAGTTGCACCCGTCGTTAAATTTACAAAATAACGATATTTTTTTATCATACATTAACATGGGGGAAAACAGGGTCAATAGGCATATTTATTCTACCCAAGGAGTCGATTTCCAAGAAAAACTATAGCTTCACAACCTGTTTAAGCTTTCAAACCAATATGTTAATCTACTTCGACCCAAGAGTACTCAGTAAAAGTCCCATTAAATGAAATACTGCATCTGCTTTCACAGTATATCGGAGAATACACGTCAAATTTTTCAGATCAATATGAACTTCATTCAACTTGACTAAGGATTTATCTTGAATAAACTTTTTTTGGTTTAAAAGTTTATATATATTTTTGGGTTACAGCTCTTTTGTAAAACCGGCGAGGCAGGAACCGTAGTCCGCTGGGAACCGTAGAACTTTACCCATCATTTTGTAACAGTATTTTGGATCCTAGAACAACAAGCGAACGAGTTTCGTGCAGTCACTCCCTTTTACCAACAGAGTACAAAAAAAATAAAAATAAAATAAATAAGGCTCACATTTTCATAACAGTGGATCAACAACTGAAAGCGACACAAAAGACTACCCTAAATTTTGCGCAGCGTGCGTTTACATTCAGTCAAGCATGTAGTCCAACAAAGTGCGTGTCAACAAAACGAACGCAAGGGCTCGCTCTGTGGGCATAACAATAATAGGCATATATTGGTCAGCGAAGCCGTAGTGCGCCGCAAATCAAAATAATAGCTATGAATTACTTAATATATACGCTACTCTGCGGCCACTTATATTGGGTGGACTTCGCTTGCGCCTTGAGTCACGCCACTTTAAAATGTAAATACCACATACCTCGACTCACAAGTCTGTTGATTGGTTTGATATAAGGTTATACTGGACGGGTGGTTGGTTTTGCTCCGTACTGAGTGACATATAATTGTAGAGCTGAGGACACATTTGGGAGAGTCAGTGCTACTGCAGAGAATCGTACGGCAGGTACTACATCTGTACTACACTTGATAAATAGGTACGTACAAGTAAGCTATGGTCGAAGATCGACATTTATACCTTTGTATTTTAATCTCAGGTTATTACGGAAGCACGTGTCCTATTCATAGCATACACATATACATACACTCTTGTTAACCTTGAAACCTACACGAAGGTAAACATTTCTTTATATGTTGTAAATGTAACACTACTATAGCTACTAAAAGTGGTACAGGGTATATGTAGTTCATCATATCGTTCCCCCCTACTACCAATGTCCTCAATGCACTTGTAAGTACAGTCCACACAGACCCCTGCTGTCAAGCGTTGAGAATCAGAGTATCTATACATCATTGCAGATCATCACATTTAATACAGTGAATACTCCCTGATACGGGATTACAGTGTACGTTTATAATAAATCAACCATTTTGTATTCGGGCCGGGGTCATTTTAGACATTTCTGCACTCATAAATGGGATGTACGCATGCAGAAATTCCACACTTGAAGTCAGCTATAGAAATTATACATGTAGTTTACTAAAATGTGTCTATGACAACTGTACAGGTAATCCATGCATACACTGTATATAGAGATACACATTGTATAACACTAGTGCTGGGAGTACAATTCAATGTTGAATTCTTTGAACAAGAGAAACGCAATGGTTGGCCTTTTCAACAGTTAGAAAATACCATGGCCTTATTCACAATCTGAGGGTTTTTTTTATTCATTTTTGATAACACGTTTTTTCGTTATTCATGTTTAACTTAGCGGTGAAAAAATGCGCTCTTGTTTGAGGATCAAGAACACGTGTACCCGGTAAGCGCTTTAGGAGGGAGTTGAAACGATTTGCGATAATAATAATAATAATAATAATAATAATAATAATAATAATAGGGGTTGGAACTTTTGTTACACATTGTAGATGCATTGTCTTTTATAATTGCTAGAAAATGATGCGCTCAAAAAACCAGTCCACGCTTTTAGATACGCCATCTATTTCATTCTTTTTAAATGTGGCCACTGTCGAAGTTTACTGTCAAAAAGTGTCAAAGGCACCACTTCGGTGGGGGCAAAAATCATTCCCCAAACAGTCTCAACCTCCAGTTTAACAGGGACTTTAATGTTATCCGAGTTAGATATAAAATCTTATGTCAGTCTCCAAGTCTAATTTTCAACTTAGTATGTCACTTATCTCTACCCTCTGGCTAAAGAGGTTATCGATGAACAGATGATAATTCACTTGATGTCTACTGCACAGGCTATCGACGGGTTAAATATCATTCTCCAAGAAGAAGCCTCAACTTCGACTTAATAATTGTACATAAAACCAATGAAATTAAAGAAGGCAAAACGAGGCGCTTGTTAGAAGTGTTAGCACGAATAGGAACAAAGGAGATAAGTACCTGACCGCTAAATAATTGTACATGACTCACACATATCTGAATATTTTAGGAACTGGACCTGGTCTGTAAAATATCACGGGGAACAAAATACTGAAAGATGAAGCAGGGCGTTGTGAGTGGCATCATTTTTGCTGCCCTGGCTATAGCACTGGGGTCCACCACCGACGTCTTTCCAGCTCCAGAATTAGCAGCCCCTCCACTGAAGATAGCTGCCTTTAACGTCCGCGTGTTTGGTCCAACCAAGGCTAGCATTCCGGCTGTAATGAACACTATTGCTAAGGTGAGTAAAATAACGAGCGTGTGGGCGCATGAATGCATGCGTCCCTGTGTTCTTTCTCTCTGACATACTAGTACATGTAGATGTATACACTAAATACACGGTTTTCAAAATGACAGAAAATGAGTTTAACAAGCACGTTCCGACACAGCTGAATAAAAATATTAAAATGACGGTAGGTTCCGTTTTAAATCCATGTGATTCTGTTGCTGTGCAAAGTTTAAGTAGTGACATGTACCTTCGTGATTTGTGCAGTACGGGTCATTTTCCTTAAAACTAAAAAAGTTGACATGTTAATTATTGATTCGTTTATTGTGTAAGCAGAGGACAAAAGATACCGTTCGTAGGAGGTGGAAATCGAACCTGTCGCTTTCAGTACATTTGAAGCTTTTGAAGGGGCATTTAATTAGGAAATGATGAAAAGGCACAATTCATTACACATGATTCAGGTCAGGAAATGACGCCTCTTGGTAATTAGACAAGTGATGAATTCATAACCGAATGGGTAACGGCCGTACATGTACAAGGCGAACGAAGAAATTTCCGCTCTTCTTCCTTACTGTCGTCATGAGGTCATTCATATAAACTTGCAGTTAATTCTTTGTCCTAGTTATTTGTTGTTTTTTTTCCTATTCTATTATAAAATGTGTATTTAGATATATTTTCATTGCTTTCAAAATGGTTGCGCGGTACTACTTTCCACATTAATGAAAAATAAAACTTTGTCTTTGAAAATGAAGGCGCAGTAGCAGAATCCGACTGATTAAAAGCACAATGCAAGTGTTTCTGGAAGGTTTCTAAAGTTTAGACAACAATATATGAAATCTTTCAATTATCCCTCTTTTATAGTCAGTTAGCAATGTATTCATTACGTGCTTTGGGTCATTTCACAGATAAATGGACCTTTGTATGGTTTTGACCTGCTCTATATATCATTTTCGCTGTTAATAGTAAAGTACCCTTCGATATGGAAAGAAATCGATAGCTAAAAAGTGATATACATGTACAACACAGTTGTGTGAATGCGGTATAACATGAAGTGACGTGCGTCACTGATGCGACCAAAATTTTCACTTTTTTGTGGAATAACTTTATACTGTATATAAAATATTCCATTTACTCATTTAGGTAGTTGCCCGTTACGACATCATTTTGATCCAAGAAGTCCGTGACTCCAGTGAAACTGTCGTGGACAAACTGCTGCTAGAAGTAAATAGGTATGCTCTCTCTTCTTTTCGCTCCCTCTCTCCCACTGTCTTACAGTATGTCATTCAGATGAATGTATCAATTAATTGCTGCTCAACACGACTTCGAAATTAATAACTCTAATCAAATAACTTAAACTTTTAATGCACACCCCCCCCCCAAAAAAAAAAAATAATAATAATAAATAAAAATGGCACTTTGATCGAAAAGATTATTTCGTGTTATGTTTTCAGTCTGGTTGGCTCCAATGCATACCAGAAACAAGTGAGTGACCGGCTAGGAAGAACTGCAAGCAAGGAACAGTATGCCTTCTTGTACAGGTATTTCGGTATTGTTTATGCAGATTAGTGAATGTATATTTATTAACATAGTATTGCTTTGAATTTTAGTGTACGAATTATTATCGCAAAAAGAGGGCATACATGTATGCTGAGAAAATCAGTTTTATTTCTAATTTTTTATATTTTATATACATATAGCATAGCTTCTTGTCTGATCTGGTCAGGATAATAAGAAGACTTTACTGCAGTTAATTTTTTGGGGCTTACTAGCCCACTTTTGGTCTTATTTTTATTAATTTAAATCTTTGTGGGCAAACATATTTTACCATCAGTATTATAATATTATTGACCTTTGCAAACCTCAGGAAAAAAAACAAAAAACAATCACATCTGGCCTAGCACTGGCTTTATGAAATAAATTAAACTTAAGAATTGTTTTAACTTTCACCACAATTTTCAAAAGTCATGTCAATTCACGATACCTCCCACAATAATCTAATTACAGCAGGTAACTTTTGAACCTAAACACTAGCCTTTCCGTGATCGTATTACATTTGATTAGATTAGTACTGACCTATCGCCAGCCATGATGATATTGTAAAATAAGCCCCTTTTTCCCCGTCTTCAGGCCCGCCAAAGTCAAGGTAACAGGCACATACCAATACGATGACGGCGTCGACAGCGGCACAGACCCGTTTCAGAGAGAACCATATGTAGTGCGCTTCCACGCCAAAGACACCGGTAAACTTTCTCAACCGTCTTGCCGTCTGTTTTATTGAGATTGTGAGATATTTTAAGGATGGTAATTCTTCTGAAAGTAAGTGGAATTTTCACTAGTATCGAGGGATACAAACAGTGTGTAAATCAAATTGCATTATAAAAATGAATAACAAATAAACAATAAAATGTGGTCTATTTCTTTTAGAAGTGACTGATTTTGCTATCATCGCTATCCACACGGACCCCCAGGAGGCAGTGAGCGAAATTGGAAATTTGACCCGGGTGTACGACGCTGTGAAACAACACTGGGCCCTTGAGGTACACAGATTTTCCTAAATACGGATGTAATATTTCATACCGAGCCATTCACTGGACTCTCGACTTACAGCAAGCCCTTGTTAAAACTCATTGACGCGTATTATTTAATCCCAAATTACATTCCAAAGTAGATCATTTTATTTTGTTCATCCTGAAAAACACGTTTCCAAATTTCGACATGGCTTGGCGTATATTTGTTTCCTCTGCCGAGGAAGAATGTTAAGTTTCTATCAGCGTTTGTTGATTGGTGGACAAACCATCTTATTTAATTCTCCGCACATTTTGACGATATTTGCGGGATAAATATATAATCAGAGAGATGGATGTGATTCCGACCGTGACTGCATCCGTATCTCCTAATAAATTCCAAAATAATTTCTACTGCCATTTTGTTGGCGGTATGGAAGCAACTGTAGAACCATCTGAATAATTAAGAAAGACATTATATGCGTAAAACTATTTTTTTCTCACAGGATATTTTGATCGCTGGGGACTTCAACGCAGATTGCAATTACGTCAATGGTGATGAGTGGGATCACATCAGTCTCTGGACCGACCCCCGGTTTAAGTGGCTTATCTCTAACTGTTTTGACACCACTGTTACTGCTACAGACTGCGCTTATGACAGGTACGTGTGAACCGTACCGCATACTCTCTGACATATCCTAGTCTGGGAGTCAAGGCTAAATACATTCAGAAATTTTATATCATAATTTTTCTACCTTATTTGGAGTTTGGTTTCAAGGCTTTTTTTGTGACTCTACCAACGGCTTAAATAAATAGTTAAAGTCACCATATCACATACATGTATATAAATATATGTCTAACGACGTGTGTAATTTCATACATGCGCATTATGCCTTTCTTTAGGAAAATATTGGTAATTTCCCTAAAATTTTAAAATGCTTCCGTAACCACTCGGTTATATACTATTTAAATCTGTTAACATAATTACGATTATAATCTCACTTTTGAGTCCTAATCAGATTCTTACGTACACACGCATGTGCATACGTACATGTACACACGCACACATCTGTACAAAACCACTAAAAATTTTTTAACATGACAACATCATTGAATGATGTTTATAACCACCGCTTTACTACTAAGTATCATTCGAAATACATTTCGATTCCTTTTCTAACGTGTACTCAACGCGGATCATACCGTTGGAACTTCAAGACTGAATGTATAACATAACGATTAAAATGGCTTCGAGTACACAGGTATCCAGATCTTTCACACTGATATTTTATTCACAAACCTACTTCTTGTTAACTTAATCCTCTTTTCAGGGTCATGCCATTAAAGTAGAAATAAAGTGGATTTTCTTTTGTTTTCGTGTCTTATTCTAGGTTCGTCGGAGCTGGGATAAAATTGCTCTCCGCCGTGGTCCACAACAGTGCGGGAATATACGAGTTTGACAAGGGCATGAGCAAGGCCGATGCCCTCGCCGTCAGTGACCATTATCCCATTGAAATCCAGCTGGCTGGAAAAGGTGAACTTCCCTATCTGTTACCTTACGAAGTAATCTGTATGGTGATATGGTCTAAAGAGTTCACGAATTTCTTAAGTATAAAACTATATGTGTGCGTGTGTGTGTGTGTGTGTGTGTGTGTTTGTGTGTGTCTATTTGATCAAGGACGTTTAATTTATGTTTTTGATCTGAAGTATTACGAATAATGATGTAGTTAGCGTATTTCCAAATCAAATCATAATGCCAAAGTGCGATCCGCTATGCGCAGTCAGCAGAGACTGGGCGTGTAGATCAGTCTTGTTCATTTATATGCTTATCTATTTATTTGTGCTCTGTGATAGTTAGCTGTGCTGCTATGGTTGTACTTTTGTGTAAAGGTGTGTGTTAATAAAGAATCTGAAACTGACTCTGACCGCTAATTGTAGCATTAATTCCGTCTATAAAGGTTTATGGTAAAAAAAACATTAGATATGATTTTCTTGGAAAGGTTTAGGGCTAAAATATCATACTAATACAGTATTGATTTTTTCGTCTTTTCTAGCAAATATCACTGCCCAAAACGTACTGAAGCCTAAGCATAGCTTCAGCGTCGAATGTTCTAGAAGCGTCTCAAACATTAACGACATTCGAAAAATATACAGGGCAAAAACTCCAGATAAAGTGGCCAACTTCGACGTGGAGGTTCTCTACCAGAAATCTGGTGCCATGCTGTACGTTGTTGCTATCAAAACAGGGGTCACAATACCCTCCCAGCACATTGAGGAGTTTAGCAACAAGTTCCCGGATGTTCTTTGTCCGGAACTTATTTCTGCTGCGCATGCGTTTGAAGACTCTGATGCTTTGAATGAACCCACGCCCATATACGGCATCCAGATGTCGCCACACTCGACCTACGACTTAGCCATCAGCTGCCGGTTGCAAGATCCTCTCACTTGTTCTTTGAGCATACAGAAAAGTCTGACTGTCTCTCCGCCAGCTGCTACGAGTAGCGCAGGACACCTTCACGGTCCGCTGATTGGCTGAGATTTTGAAATCATGAGGAAATAATACCGACAACCCAAACACGGAAGAACAGTGTTATGAAACTATCTGTATGTTAAAACTACAATTAACCAAACATTCCTGTTCAAAATGATCTTTTTTACGACATTATATCTTTGCTACACGGTGTGGACACACGTGTACAATATTACTTAACAATTTACCAATAGCATTCAACAGGTAATATACTTTCGTTTCCTCTTATTCCTGCTCATACTGTACATGTAGAAGTATTGGAAAAGCGTGTTTCAACTTTTTCACATGGGGACAGAACAATAATCAAAATACAACGATGGAAGTTTACAAAATAATATAATCCAATATCTTTTTTAAAAGGTCTAGGTAAAGTTGCCTTAACGTCGTAAGGATCTGGTATGACGTGGTGTGTGGTATGTTGGGTTACACGTTATGGCTGGACTATTTTTAGATCACTGGAAGTCATTCACGGTAGATATTTATTAATGGGATTAAATTCAATTTGTGACGTCAGTATACACCTCTGCTCTTTTAAATGACTTGGTTCTTACACGAACGTTATTTAAACATTTTTATTGTCAGTAGAACTGTAAATGATTAAACGTAACTTCCTAAAAGCTTTGCACTTTTGTCTGCAATTTAATTGTATCAGAATGCTTCGGCTTATGTTGACTTTGTAAAATGTAACGTTAGACAACATGGAAAAGTCAATTCTTCAAAGTTAATTAAATGTTTTATATTGATGATGGAAGATTTACCTTTTGGAAACATGCGCTAATATAAATTCTCATGATATCATAAGGACAGTTTGCACGTGCATCTCATTGTTTTGGTGATCTTGACTTTACAGCACGAAGCATGCATGCCTACAACAGTTCTTCTATCTTCCCTATACACGAAATTATCGTTAAAAGCAGATGTACTTGAAAGCCGGGAGTAGCTGCAGAAGATTTAGCAGTCAATGTGGGTTTCGGTTTCGAATCCGCTGCATTTGAATTATCTGGGCAGCTGGTTTGCTGCTTACGTATCACTCGTAACTCGTATTCCAATCCACCATATTTAAATACGATGTTTTTGTCAAGAACCTCTCGCTCAAGCTTGTCTTGCAAATCTGTGAACACTTTCAAAGCATCGCTATATCGACTGACAGTTTTTCTCAAAAGAAATTTTTCTTTGATCCGAATCTTACGTGTACCCTCAACTAAGGGAGATGTCACTGGTGAGGTCACGCAAACGTGTGTACTATCCACCCAAACCCAAACTACCGACTCCAATGTAGACAAAGCGGAACGGAACTTGCCCTTCCGGAACAAACTTTGGACTTGAGAACCAAGTGCTGTGTACTCTGCACAGGTCTGGTTCATACCAGTACTTGTGCTGTTGTCGCACACGAGGTCGAAGTCCACATAGAAATCTATGTTGTGTAACTCAGACAGGAGCCAACATCCAGTTTGTGCATCGTCATTTGTGCATGGAATCTGAAATTAAAATACACTCCTGCATTCTCTCTTAGATAATGTTTATTTATTTATCTATTTACTTTGGAAATCTGTGCATTTCATGGGATTTCACAATAATAATGATATTTCTGGGATTAGGTAACACGTATATGGTTAGGCTCTAAGGCTCTTAATCACCTGCTCATTGCCGTCAAATATAATAGAAATGCTTTTACGTAAGCACCCCTGTACATGAAGGTCCCATTGGGTATTTTCTTTTTCGTTAAAGCAACTTCCCGATATGCGTGAAACGGCCATTTTATTTCGTGAACCACCCTATTCCCATGAAATGTGAATGTGGCATTTGATGCTTCCTGAAACGAAGCCATTATATCGAGTAATGTAAAATAAAAGAAAACCAGATACTTACAGCACTCAAAAATGGACGACACTGTGGGTCACCGTGCGATATATTGATTAATGCGCTTAATCCCAATGGATTGAACTCACGTTCCTTATGATCTGAAAAATAAACGTCAGTGAGATTATAAGAATAAGGCAAAAACCATAACATGTCTTACAAAATGAAGCAATTTTTCTATCCCGGTGACTACAGTACATTTCAGGTAAAAACTTGTCTATTCGTTAGTTTTGATTAAAAAAGAAAAAATTGCCTTTTTGTCCCCTACGCTCAAGCAAAATCATAGATACTATTATTTGTTATATTTATAGCACCAAATATTTTATATTCTCACATAGAAGTAGAATATATATATATATATATATATATATATATATATATATATATATATATATATATATATATATATATATTCACACAGTCCCTTACCATTTGACGAGCAGTCTTCAACTGTGATAGGCGTGTCAGTCCGGACCATGGTACACAGCCAGCAGAACACATTTTTAACTAGATACTCTCCACCGTGTGTGATCACACGTGTAACTGATACGCATTTTGACTTGCACAAATCAGTCAACGGAGAGTCCTTTGGACAAGCCCATTCATCCACGAATCCTCTATGTGAAACAAAGCCGCGATCTTTGTCCACACACAGTCTTCCTGGACTATCATATTGTGGCTCAAAGTGGATAGCGCAAAAAGGTGTTTGAGCCAGCTCCAATATGTCGTCCAAGCTTGATAAATTCCGAAAGTGTTCCATGTCAATATCCTCACTACAAATTAAAAAAGGCGACCACAGCGCGGGATTTGTAATGCCATGACACATGGCACAATATCGGTTCTTAAATGTAAGTTTTGTGCGTTTGTCAGAAACTGGCTGAAAATTATTTATGGAAAAATCAACAGGATTTTCACATTTTTCTCGAACCTGTGAATCATATCCCTCATCTGGACAGGATCGTATCATCCAGTAGTAGTTGGGTTTCATTTTACTTACTAACTTTGTAACCTGTGGTTTGCATTCGATGCTGTTCAATGAAATATCAATTTTGCTACTAGCTGCTGAGGGGTTTTGGGTTGAGTTTGAGCTTGGGCACTGTAAAAATGGTGAACAGCAATCTCTGAAAAGACCACAATAATAGTCGCAGTAACAGTTTATCCAGACCATTTGAAACCGTTGCACTAATGAATCAAACGACACGCAAACTTGCCTGTTCGTAGGAAATCTGAGATTATTTGATTGGTTATCGTATAGTTGAGGAAACACGGAGAGGGGGCTTTCTGTAGTCTGGAAATGTTCGTTATTATCAATAGAGATTGTTTGGTTAGCAGAGGGAACGATACCGGGCGTTGCGGCTTCCGTTCCGCTCACTGCATCCGTAGTCGGTGACGTGGTGGATGTAAGGAAACCAGCGAGGGATGCGTCGGGTAGATTGCGTCGTCTTCTCCATGGCGCAACCAAGATATTGCTTTCTTTTTCCTCTCTTGCAGCTGCCAAGTTTTCCACGAAATTTGGTCTCATTTCACCATCACTTTTCTCCCTCTTTCTCTCGAACTGAAATTTTGTAGCGTCATCTGGGTATTTTGGACCAGAAGCTAGTTTAGGGGTAAGCCCTAAGCTTATTCTTCTTTTTCCGATAGCAGCTGTTAAGATTAAAAGAATTAAAAGATGAACTTTTCCTTTTCTAAATCCCATATTAACAGAGATAAAATCAACAAGGAACACGGGGCTTGGAGCGCATTAGAAAGCGAATGTCAAGGAAATGACACTCTCAGTCGAGTCCGTTGTTTTTGTACCCTTCCGTTATGAAAATATCCTACTAATGAACGGTAGACCCTAATTTAGCCAATATATCTTGATAAAACAAACACAATTGACATGCCCATTAAGTCTCATTATCTAAGATTATCCAATGTGAATCAGTTACGAGGGGCGATTCGCCTCTTTTCCTGATTACAAAACATCATCTATCTTCCCTGGTTCCAGCAGCATAGATATGATAGGAATATGATAAATGTGCCGTTACGTTTTTCTTTGATTGTAATGGTGTTTTTGTATGCTTTATTAACTATACCGCCATCCATTTACTTCTTCTAGTTAACTTCAATGGGATTTGGTATTGGACAGTGCAGAGCATTGCGTTTGTGATACATGTGAGACGTGGCACACCTACTTTCTTATCTTTATCTACATTGAAGGACCCAGTTACAAATTTGACATTTTTTAATGTACCAAATATGAAAACTTCTCAGGCAGCTGTATGTGGAGGTGGAGGCGGGGAGGGTTCTAAGGTAGCTGTATGTGGATAATGCCTGATCGTCAAAGAGTTTTGGCCGCTCTCCGACGTGATAATGTAAAAATGCAAAATTTTTATACTTCTTCAGACCCGTAGTAAAATGTCCGCTCTAAAATAAAATTTGATCTATATATGTATGTTTCATGGTAAAAAGCCCATTTTTTCATTAAAAAAATAAATAAATAAAAGGACCCCCTTCCAAATAACTAGATATGTTTCTGTTCATTTTCATTTCTTTTTATTTTCTTTTATCTTTCTGTTTATTTAGTCACTAGTTTGTTAGTTGAATACTGCCATGTTTATTTATTCACTTATTCAGCAGTTCCCCATGGGTCCAAAGTGATCACTCCCCCCCCCCTCCCCCCGCGCACTAGGGCAAGCACACATCCTTTCTTGACAATGACATACCAGAAGTTTGTCTCTGATGATATATATGTAATGATGAATTTGCAACATGAACCATTTCCTTTCTCATTTTTCAGTTAGATTTAATCAAATAGGAAAGATTAATGAACTATTGAATGCAGTGATAATAATACATGTACGAGTACGGACCTAATAATATTTCATCGGCAAAGTTAGAGGTCAAAACTTCCAAGTATCAATGTACTTTGCCGTACGCTATGAGGATCTACTTAAACGAATTACCAATATGTCATGTGACTGTAGAGCCGCACTTTTCATAATGAAGAAAGGACGAATATTTTGATTTTTCACAGGAGCTTTATACTATAGAGAACATTTAGTCTTCCTCTCCAATTTTATAAAAAAAATCATTCAAGAAATGAAGCGGTTGCTCTGCTTTTTAACTCTTAGTATATTACTTGGAAAAAATGTCAGTGTGTGGTCCCACTTCTGTGAGCCGTGACTGGGCAGTGGGATTAAACCTGGCACATGGTCAAGTTAGCATTCAGATACACACATCGTACTCTGTAGGGCAATCTCGCTAAAGTGCAATCACTGAATTCAGCTTAATTGTCTGACACGCCTCCTCGAGCATCTAGGGGGTAATAAACCAACACGTGCTGATGAAGCTGATTCTACTAATTGCACTTTAGTAGGAATCCCCTGCAGAGTTTGACCAACGCAGCTAGTGCAATATGTGAAACTGAATGCTCCCTAAAACTCAAAGAGGCCAATTCTATCCATGCATTATCTTGCATTATGCGGTATGATTAGTGTTGCAAGCATTTTGGGAATTGTTGCAAGGTGGGTTCTACATATCGTTGCTGTGTATTTAACTCAATATCATTGTAGCGATTGGTGGTAAACTTTAAAAAAAATCAACTCCAACATATGATGACAGCAAATTGCTTATGTTTTGGATGATTTTATTTTTTAAAGAACGCTGTTGGAACATTTTTATAGTCGTTACAACGTTCTCAGATCTTCTGCCCGTTTGCCGTTACGTCTCTATATTGGCTTGGCGCAGTGTAATGCAGGACGTCAAGGTACACGTTAAGTCACTGCTTGAATTAATTGTCGAAGCAATTACATTTTCGGTATGTATACTAATACGTATTCTCAATTATGAAATGTCTTTACCACAAGCCACGAAACGTGAAGTGCTTAGAACAGTAACCCCAC